TTTTTTTTTTGGTCTCCCTCTCTCTCTCCTCTCTTTACATGAGAGTAAGAATCTGAGTGAAATTGAGCCCATTTCTGGCCCTTGGGTTGGACCTCTAGGGATGTATTTGTCCTCTTTTATGTCTGTCTGCTTCTCTGGCCTCTTCCCTTTCCAACCTTGTCCTGCAACCTTGCTCCGTGTCCTGTTTCTGTCTTGTCTTCCTTGATCCTGAGGTTGGCAGCTGTCCTTGCTCCCTGTAGGGACTTCCTTGGGGCCCTTAGTGGACAGAGAAGTCTGCCTGTATGGGTATGTTAGCAAGGGTCAGAGCCTTAGTTGGTAGACATTTTCTAGAAGGCAGCATGCCTTACTGCTTGTAAAGCACTGTCAGTATTGCATGCTGCCAATAATATATAATTATACTGCAAGGAGGACACTACTTCCCATGCAACTGCTCATTAATCTTTATATCTATTTATATCTCGATATAGATTTTGTGTGTGTGTGTGTGTGTGTGTGTGTGTGTGACCCCGACCCCCCAAATCTGCGGTCCTTGTATCCTTAGCTGCCCCTTTTTTGTTAGCGTTTCTCCCTGCACTGTTTATGGTCACCTTCTCTCATTCCCAGGGCTCTATGGCTTGATGGCGCTCGTTCTTAAGAGCATTATTCCCATAGGTGCACAGGCGTTATGTTTGGGGCTTTGCTGATGCCATGTTCTGCTGAGTGATGCTGAGCAGTAAGGAAGGTGTTTGAACATCCCCTTCTTATCAGCCTGTTATAGCTTTCTGAGCCCCATAAATGTTTATGAGCAGATGATGATGTGTCATCTCTGCTGGTTCTGTAGATCCGTGGTTTTCTGGTGGAATAATTGAGTGTTCTGCCCTGCTTCTTGATAATCCTGGGGCCGTGTACTGTTCTGCTTACCTACCTGACTGTTGTGTGTGGGAACGGAAAGAAGCATAATGACCATGTCATGTGGAACAGGGCCCACGTGTTCTTCTGTAGAGGGCTAGCAAAAGGCCGGGGTGCCATTTAAGTCTTGTAGCAAGGCTGTAAGTGAGGAACTCAAGTTGGCTTTCTGCATCAGGACAACTATCACCCTTGGTGAATTAACACTGCAAAGAGCCTGACCATATTAGAGCATTGTTTTGTAAGTTAGGAGATGATCCAGTGGAAAGGACACTACTTGGGTGACCTAGGTCCAAGTCCTCACTGTGCCCCAGACTTCCTAAACTAGTCACTTGGCCTTGTTTTTCTCTCGCTGGAAAAAAATAGGCATCAGGGTCCTTTCCTACATCTGGAACAGCATCTAAGTAAATATATATAATATTGAAGTGCACAGGTAATGGGACTCTCACTGTCCCCTACAGAGAGAAACTGATATAGTTTATAAAGGTGACCATTTTCTTTCAGACATAAAACCATGGGCTTTGGCCTTCCACACATAAGATGCTAATAAGGCAACCTTTAATTTTCATTGGACTGATGCTGAAACTGAAGGAGCTTCTGTCAAACCCTGACTTAAAAATACAGTACAAGTGAACTAGCTTAATTTTTCAAATCAAATATTTACTGAGTTTGGAGGGGCAACAGAGCTGGGGAGGCTACCGATTAATTGTTGGGGGTCTGGCGTTAAGTGAGAACTTACACATTGTAGGAGTGACCCAGCTCTGCTTGTCAATGGACAAAACCATCTGCTTGGATGGCAGGGTGGGCAGACTTCTCAGCAAGACCAGAGCAACAACAAACTGGGCTTGCTCAAGGCATATTGGCAGTCATGTGGCGAAGCAATGTCTAACTCTGAGCATGAACCCTCCCTCACACTAAGTATGACAAATGTTCCCTCACTTGTTCTTTTTAGGGAGGTAATAAGCCTACCAAGCACTTACGTCTCTACCCATGAGTCCATCTGCTAGGAAAGCTAATCTTTCTCTTTTTTTGGGGTTCAAACAGAAGTCAAAAGATGCGTGACCCCCAGATGTGTCCTGAAGGAAGTCAGTGTCTCCAAGCCAGCAAATGCATCTTAAAGCTTCCGGAGGTGAGACCAGAGAAACCTTGATTTCCATCATAGATAGGTGATCTTGCTATCCTTACTGTGTAGGAAACTGGCCATGTCCAGTGGAATTGAGTCAGCCAGGAGAGTATGGATGGACTCCTGAGTTCAGCATTTCTTGTGGTTGATCAAGGACCCAGGGGAGGGTGAAGCCCCCTCCTGTCCCTTCTCCCAGTGGAAAGTCACAGTCCACTTGAAACAGCAGTGGGAAAGGAAAATATGGTTTCCTGCCCAGGCACGGAGCTTGGTGCATACCCGTGCCCTCTGTTAACTGGACTCTGGATACTGAAGTCTGTTTTTAGATTGCTGTGAAGAGCACTGCTGGGAGTTAGACAATGGAGAACAGAAGTGTAGGATTATGGAGACTTGTGCAGGCTGTGATAGAGGCTTACCTAAGAGGTGAAGTATCTGTGATGAACGTGAATCCCAAGACTCTGGAAAAGTGTGTGGCATTCCCAATGGAAAAAGGATGCTAAGGGGGGAAAGGAGAAAAATCAGTCCTGCTTGAGCAGGATTAGTTTTTAGTTGCCTCCTAGAAATCTGGCAGGTTGGATATATATGTGTGGCTTTAACATCCTGAGACATCCCATCAAAAGAACGGAGCCCTTTGTTCGCATGGAGATGATGTCTGTGTGTAATAGGTCATCCTTGTCTTCAGATATTTGTAATCTTTTTTTAGGATTCTTAATATTTCTTATGGAGCCATAGGGCTTTTGGAGTAGAGAAACTTTTGGGCAATTGCCTCTGTTCTGATGAAGTCCTCCCCTAAACTGCTAGATTGAATGCTGAATGTTTTCATTAGGCAGCATCCTGGTTCTCATGTGGCTCCAGTGTCAATGAAGTCTGTGACTCAGAAATATGCAAAAGCACTAGGGCTCTGGGCTGGATATAGTTGAACCATAAATGTGGAATCTATTAACAAAATACTCTTTGAACCTCACCTGGTGCTGAGGACTTGAGTAACCAAG